GGGGGGGCCCCCCCCCCCCCCAGGCCTATCTAAGGTGGTTACCTGTAATCACAGTAACGATGGAGACTCTGGGGAAGCAGCATGATTATCCTGTTTGGGGAGCAAGCCCAGGGGGCTCAGGCCTCTTGCCCAAGCTCGCACAGCCAGCTCACAGCACACCATCGTGCCTCCCAGGCTTGGGCCTTGGCTGCCACCCTAACCCTGCCTGGCCTCTACAGCCAACAGAGACATGGCATCCATCGTGTCTGAGATCATGATGTACGTGCTCATCGTGGTGTTGACCATATGGCTCGTGGCAGAGATGGTTTACTGCTACAAGAAGATCGCCGCTGCCACGGAGGCTGCTGCACAAGAGAATGCGTGAGTGGGGTCGGCGAGGAGGGGTGAGGCGGCCCAGGGCACCTTCTGGCTTCCCAGACGGGAGCTGAGTTGGGTGGGGAGGGTGGCAGGGGAGCGACCCAGGGCGCCATCTCTCAGTGCTCCCCAGAGGGAAGCGTTCGTTGTCAGAGATGGGGTAAAGTGGTTCTCAGGTCCTAGCCCCTTCCTCCTTCAAACCCAGGAGTTCAGACCCCCAGCCAGGGCTTCTCGTAGATCCCTAGGAGTCCAGCTGTACGTAGCCCCCTCCTCTGTCTAACTCAGGAGCCCTGTGTGCCTGGGGCAGAGACCACAGCCTTCTCCAGTCTCCTGGGGGTTGGGCCAGACTGATTATAGGGTCACTGTACACCTGGCCTTTTCCTCCATAGCTCGGAATACCTGGCCATCACCTCAGAAAGCAAAGAGAACTGTACGGGTGTCCAGGTGGCCGAATAGCCCCGGTAAGGTGGGTGGGTGGCTGGGTGGGCACGGGGTGGAGGGTCTGGGAGGGTTTCAGCCCGCTGGGTCCCTAATTTCCTGTCTCTCCCTGCCCTTCAGACCCTGGGCTCCGCCTCAAGGAAGAGCCAGCCCTAATGGGGGACGTCCAGGGACAGCCCGCCCCCAATGGGGGTTGGCCATTCCCGGCCTCCACATGCCTCAGAGTCCTGCCAACGGAGCCACCAGAGTGGGAGGGGGCAGGGGGCTTGGCTTGCACCCCTGACTCAGCCTTCTTCCTCCTTCCCCATTGCCCACCCACCGCTGTGCATGATGGGAAAGCAATACTGCCGCTGCCCCCACCTCTGCTTCTGCTGCCTGTTTGGGAGGGGGCGGTGAGGTGGGGCAGCGGCTCCGCACTCCTCCTTGCTGATTTGCACACATTGGCTGCTTCAGACATGCACTTCTGGGGCCAGCCCCTGCCTGCCCCATCCCTGCCTGGCGGAGGTCATGATGGGCTGGGACAGTTTGGAGCAGGGGGTTCTGGGACCTGCCTGACCCCCAGCATCACTTCCTCTCCTGCTTCCTCCGGCTGGACCTGGGGTCCCCTCCCTGTGATGCACTCTTGCCCGGCCCAATCCCACCCTCTCTCACCAGCCTTGGACTGTGGCCACTTAGAAAGGGGCCCGTTCAGCCTCGTCTCTCTTTACAGAAGTAGTTTTGTTCATGAAATAAAGATTCTTGGACTTGATTCATAGTCTTTCTCGTGAGCCCAGTCACCCTCTATGTCCCCCCCCCCCAAATCCAAGAGCCTCAGTTTTCCTGGGACCCTCCCTCCTGGGCAGGCAGTGGGGCCTCAGCCACACACAGTCAGGGATAAGGATGGGGAAGGAACAGGTGGGCTGGTCAGACCCAGCGCCTGCCTGAGGGCCCAGCACGTGCAGCCACTTAGTACTTGATTAATGTCAGGGTTGGGAGGAGTCATTAGCTCAGCGGGGACCATGAGTGGCAAGGGAGGGTGGGAAGAAGCCAGAGAGGCAGCCAAGGAGGCGACCCAGGAGCTTGGGGGTGCTGTGTGGGGAGGAAAGGCCAGGCTGGTGCTAGGGTGCATGGTTTTGTGGGGTTTGCTGTCTTCCTAGCAGTGTGGGTCTCTCTGGAAAGGTGGGAGTTGGGAAGAGAGGGAGGTCGAGGCTGGGCAGCAGCCAGGCTGAACCAGTGTGTCCCCCAGTGAGAGGCTGTGGGTCTGTGAGAGGAGAAAGTACATAGGGTGAGGGTGAGGAGTCTGATTGTGCAGGGACAACCCATCTGGGGTGAGCAGCCGCTGTCTGACTATGTTTGGGTGTGTGGCTGACCACAGGCAGGTATCTGATGGTGCCCCTGGTGTGTCTGGATGTTTATCTGGCTCTGGGGTCTGACGTGGATGGCTTTTGGCTGCTGGTGGGACAGTGTGTATCTGCCTCTGGACACTTCCGCTGCTTGGCCGGGGCCTCAGCACTCAGTGTTGCCTTTTCCGGGCCAAGCCCCCCCATCCCCCCTATCTAGGACTTTCTCTGCTCCAGAGGTCACTGCTGCAGGCGGCAGAGAGACTGCCAAAGCAAACCGTCCCCCGTGACTTGTAGGAAAGCAGCTGGGGGGAGGGGGCCTGGGGGGGATGAGCAGGGAAAGGCACACAGGGGCTGGGCTGGGGACATGGGAAGGAGCAGAGGCTGGGACAGGAGTTAGGGGAGGGGTGGGAGCTGGGGCTGGAACTGGGGTGGGGGTGGGGACTGCCTTGTTCAGGAAGTAGGCAGGGGGAGCTGGAAGGGGTAGGAGCTGAGCTGAGGCAGGGCAGGGGCTGGCCAGGGGCAGAGTGGGCTTCGGGCAGCTGGGGCCCTCCATCCAATTCCCTCCAGTTCGGATCTCCTTCCTTCAGTCCTCTAAGCAACCCCAGCCCTCAGCCTGGGCTGGCCGAGCCTGTCCTTGTTCCCACCTCCCCGCAGACAGGCACACCTGGGCCCCCTGAGATTGGAGGCAAGGCCAGCTGCTGGGCCTGCCTGGTTCAGCCCCTGCAAGCCTGGCGCTACCACCCAGGTGGCCTCTGGAGCTGCCAATCCCATTGTCCAGCCCCTCCCCGCCCCTTCCCACGCCTCTTGCCCAGCCCCCTCCTCCTCAGGTGAGGCAGCCTGGCTTAGCAGGCCCCACGCCGCCGCCACCTCTGCCTCCCAGGCAGCCCGTTGCTGCGGGCCACCATGCTCCTGTCCAGGCCTGGAGACTGACCCTAAACCGCCACCACCTCGCAGCTCTGCCCCCACCTTGTGGACCCCAGGGTAAGGACCTTCATCCCCCACCCAAACTGATGCCCACCTCTCAATAGAGGGGGTCCCAGGTACTCCAAGAGTGGACTCTCTGGCTTCTCCGCAAGGACTTAGGAGTTCCAGCCCACTAATCCTTCAGACTCCGAGATTGGGCCCCCAATCTTCTCCACCCGCAGACTCCTCTGACTCAGGAGTCCAGGCCCCCTGAATCCCTCCTTCCCCAGGACTCAGGAGTTCAGATCCTCAGTCCCTTCTTCCCCCAGGCTCAGGCATAGGGGTCCCCGGTCCTGCAAATCCAAGCGTCCCCCTGGCCGCGGATCAGACAACTGACCCTATCCTTGAACCCAGCCCCGTCTGCGTCCGTGATCACGGCGTGCTCTGGCCGAGGCCCAGTCCCTCCAGCCTCCCTGGATGGGCGCCTGGGACTGGGGGCACCAGGACTGGGCTGGGCTGGGCTCCCCCAGGCCCTGCCTCCCCGTTCATCTCCCCACAGTTCCCGCCCCGGCCCAGGAGGTCAGCCGGGGAATCATTAACAAGAGGCCGTGACATGGCGGAGAAGGAGGGTGAGTCCCCCTGTTCCTCAGCCCCGACTCTGGCTCTGCCGGGCGCCCCTTCGTCTGCTCTTTTCTCGAACCTCCGCCCCCTTGGAGCCCCTCTCTGGGCACCCCTCCCAGACCCGTACTTACCCCCTTCTGAGGCCTCCTCAACCTTATTAACTATTAACCATATTTTCTGTGTGTCTGTGCCACCACCTGCCTCCCTGTAACCCCACATGACCTTCCTGGTGCCTTGCCTCAGTTTCCCCTCTCCCCCAGTGATGGCTTAGCTAACCCTGGACCTGTCCTCTCCTTGGGCTGAGGTAGGGAAGACTGTGGCTATCGTGGTTAAGGACACGGATTCTGGAGTCGAGCACACAGACGTGCATTTGGATTTGCCTCTGCTTCTTTTTTGCTGTGTGATCTTGTGCAAGCGACATCAATTCTCTGGGCTTCAGTTTTCCCCTGGGTCCAGCATGGATCCTACTACTCCCTCCATGAGGTGGTTGGGAGCATGGAACACACGAGGCACCAGCATGGGCTCAACACGTAAGACACATGCTGTAAACCGGAGCTGTCATGACAGAGGTTGGCAGACTTGGAGTCCTAGGGACCCAGGACCCCCACTGATTCCAGACATTCCTCCCACCTCCTGACTCTGTGGGCAAAAGAGCAGGGGGAGGACTTTGGACTCAGCCTGGGTGGATGGAGAGGGGAGAGACAGCAGAGAAACTACCCCAGGGATGACAAAGAGAAGCCACTCAATGGGGTGGTTGGCGCTCAAGGGCTCTCAGCTGCCCCTGAGTGCCAACATCTTCCACACTTGGGAACCAGCTGGAGGGGTCCGATTAGGGATGGCCTTTCATTCCTACCTTCCCCCAGCTGGGGCTGACTCCCTCTCTTCTTCCTGGAACCAGCCTAGCTGGGTTCAGTCCCAAGCAGTAGCACTTTCTAGCCGTGTGGCCCAGGGCGAGCAGCTTACTCTCACTGGGCATCTGTTTCTTCCTCTAAAATGGAGGTGTTAATAGTGCATATCTTGCATTGTGAATTTAAACTCGATGGTAGGGCGGAAGCACTGAGTGTGTGGGCTGAAATGATTAGTATGAATCTCTGGCCTCCTCGGGTCTCAGCACAGTTAACAACTCAGACCCCAAACCATTCACCCGTGGTCCAGAGTGAACCCAGGCTCCCAGTCACTCAGGGGTCGGTGGCCCAGCCTGGCTGAGCAGGTGGACGATAGAGCCTCTCCGCTCTGGGATGATTTCTTTCCTGGAGCTGACTGAAAGGAAGCACCAGGGCTGGGGCCTGGGGGTAAATGAACCAAGGAAGAAAAGCAGAAAGTACCCAGATGGGCAGAGATGGGTCTGGACACAGGAGACAGCAGGAGCAGATTGGGCTGCAGTGCTTTCCCAGGCAGCTTGGGCGTGGGCCTGGAGGGGAGTCCTGCTGACGGGGCTGGGGGCTGAGGGGGAGTGTCTAACCTGGACACAGATGCCGAAGGGTCCTTGTGCTGCGCTTACTTGCTGGGCGAGCTGGGGTTGGTGGCTGCACCTCTTTAGGCCTCCTTTCCTCTGTAAACTGAGGCTGGGGGTGATGGTGGCTTCCTCATTAACAGCTGCAAGGATTTAAGGAAACTGCAGGGCAGGATGGGGTTAGGACAGGGCTGGGTCAGTGTGCCATCCGACAGTCATTGCTGCTGCTGCGGCTGCTGGTGTTTGTGCTGTTGGAGTGAGCCCAGGGCGAGGTTCTTGGTGCTGCCTGGAATTGCAGGAGGTGATATCTGAGTCGCAACTCAAAGGATGAGTGGGGAGTAGGTGGGGTGGGTCAGGCAAAGTAAGTTCTGGTATTTCCAGAGGTGAAGTTGGAAGTGGAGCTAGGAAGAAGATGATTTAGACGAGCCGGACCAGGCTCTGGGGGACGGTTTCTGGTGAGGGGCAGGCTGATTCCTTGGCAATGCTGGGTCCCTCCACAAGATGGCGCTGGTGGTAATTCTTTGTTTCTCTTGTCTGACTTGTACCAGGGTACTTCAAAAAGTTCATGGAAGGGCCGGCCCGTGGCTCACTCGGGAGAGTGTGGTGCTGATAACACCAAGGCCCCGGGTTCGGATCCCATATAGGGATGGCCGGTTCGCTCACTGGCTGAGCGTGGTGCTGACAACACCAAGCCAAGGGTTGAGATCCCCTTACCGGTCATCTTTTAAAAAAAAAAAGTTCATGGAAAAATGAAATTTAAAGATAATACGATTCTTTCCATGAATGTTTTGAAGACCCCTCATATTTTACAAGTTCTGTGATTTTGGTTGCTCTTTGGAAGCTCTGTCAGGTGTCTGATAATGACCCACATGTCTGCCTGGGAATTTGGAGAGACATGTTGAGCCCCAAATCTCTGAAAGCCATGCTGCTATCCAAGAGGGGCTGGAAATTCCAGGCTGAGGGCTTTAGACTCTGTCCTGGGGAGCACTGGGGAGTCACAGAGAGCTCTAGGTAAAGAAGGTTGGATTTAGTATTTAGGAAGGTTCCCCAGGCTCCTGTGTAGAGGGTGCACCAGAAGCGGAGACTGAGCCCCAGCGATTGGATAGGGCTGGACAAGGCAGGGCTGGGGGAGGGTAAGGAAGGGTAGACAGGAGAGTCACTCAGGAGGCCCGACAGGCTGTGGAACTGGCAAGCTGGGGGTGGGGGCGTGAGTTTCCTGCAGACGAGGGACAGTCCTGGGGATGAGAGTCTCCAAGCCTGGACCTGGGAGGAGAAACACATTTGGGGAGATATAAAGGCCAGTATGGGTCTGGTAGGTGTGAAGGGACCAGGGTATTCCAGGGGAAGTCATCTAAGACCCCACAGGACCTAAGATCCCACAGGGTCCAAGGCCTGCCCTAGGAACTCCAGATTTTAGGGAGTGGGTAGAAGGTCCACAGAGGTGGCCCCATCAGAGAAGGAAATCCAGATGTATATGGTGTCCCAGAAGTCCAAAGAGGAGGGAATTTCATTCAGGAAGTCGGAGGCATGTAAGATAAGGACTGAGACACATAGCTATCAATTGAGTGGAATTTTAGAGACAAGGAGCCAAAGATGTCACCTGTGAGAGTCTTTGCAGCTGAGTGGTGGGGACAGAATAACTGTCCTGTGAGGACACATGGGCAGCTGGAAGGCACCCAGAGGAGCAGGGAGCAGACAGGCTTGGGGTGGGGGGTGGGGGAAGGCCTGGCTTCCTGAGCAAAAAGGCCCTGTGGTTTCCACGGGACTACGGAGTTGAGGACACCGCCTCTCACACAGAATGAGGACGCTTCCTGTCCCAGCAAAGACACACAGGAAGGGTGCTTCTCACACTGGCGGCCCAGAGTGAGGATGCTTCCTGCCCCACCAGAGGTGCCAGGGCCTCCAGGCTGGCTCCTGCGTAGCCTAGTGCCCTGGCAGCCGCACCTGAAAACAAAGGATCAGGACCAGCCTGATGGCTGCAGGGAGCCGAGACTTCCCACTGGAACCAGGACAGGGGTTGGGGGCAGAGTTGGGGGCCCCCCCCGGGGCCTCTTTGGAGAAATGGAATGTTCTCTCACACCTCAATGGGCACTGCTGAGCTCTCAGATTCTTAAGACACCCAGACAGTGGCCACCCCAGGAAGGTCCTGGACCACTCCCTTGTCTGTTCCGGGTGCTGGCCTGGCGCTGTGCCCACCGGCCGTCCTACCTGCAGCACTTGGAGCGCTTTGCGGATGCCAAGGGCAGTTGAGCCCAAGTCGGGCCCAGCCGAAGGCTTTTAGCAGCCTTTTCCCTTTGGTCCTCCTACAGTCGCAAGGGAGGGGGTCGTTGGCCTTTAACCTCCAGGACCTCTGTGGCACTGGGAAGAAAATCCCTCCTCTCCCTGGGCCGCCAGGCCTCCCTCACTGGCCCCAGCCTGGATTCCCCTGCTTCCCCGAGCTCATGCCCTTCTGGCCGCCTCAGTGGCCTCTCTACCCTCTAACAGATCGTGCTCATTCTTGCCTGCAGGCCCTCGCCTGTGCCATTCTCTCTGCCCGCAGTGCTCCTCCTTGAGGTCTTTGCATGGCTGGCACCTCACACTTCAGATCTCAGCTCAAAAGTCTCTTCTTGGGGACGCCCTCCTGGAGCCCCCTTTAGAAGCCTCCTCTGCTGCCCCCCAGCTGCGCTGTATTTTTATAGCCTTTGCCACAATCTGGAAATGATCAGGTTCATTCATTTGTTTGCTTGTTGTCCCCCATTCCCTGCCTACACGTGTGAGAATGAGGGCTACGGTCTTCTCTGTCTTGTTCCGGGGTGTGTTCCCAGAGCCTAGAATGGGACCGGGTCCACAGCAGATGCTAGTAGGACAGTAAATGAATACAGCTCTGTTTAATGATGAAGAAACTGAGGCTCAGAGAGGCGAAGGGAGTTGCCCAGGACCAGCTCTAATGATTGATGCAGCATTTATGGAGAATGTGCCGTATGCTAGGCACTGTGGCACAGTGAGAGGTGGTATGGCTTCACACTTATGCACTTGGGACCTACACCGAGTCTGCCCAGGGTTCTGGACTTAGCTTTGCCTCTTCCAAGCTGAGTCACCTTGGGCACGTGACTCCACTTCTCTGAGCCATCTGAAGAGTGAGAATCATAATATGGGATTGAGATAAGGACTGAAGGAGTTAATGCATTTAGAGCAGTGGTTGGCACATAGTAAACATCAATAAGAGTTTGGCTATTATTATTTAAAAGAACTTTAAGGTATTATTTTTAGAAGTGGGTGCTAGGTGGATGCCCATTTAATAGATGAGAAAGCTAGGGCTGGCTGGTGAGCCCAGCTGGTTAGAGCACAGCCTTACAACACCAAGGTCATGGGTTTGGATCCCCGAACTGGCCAGCTGCCAAAAACACAAAAACAAACAGATGAGAAAGCTGAGGCTCAAAGAGATGATGCCACCTGCCCAAGGTCACCTCGGTAGTTTGGGGGGTACCCAGGGACAGTCCAGAACAGCAGAAAGAAGTGAGGCAGTGAGAAAGTGCCCAATGGCAGGGAAGAGAGCTGCCAACAGGGCAATGGTCAGGGGTCACAGTCCCCAAGAGGCTCCAAGAAGCTCAGCAAAAATTAGCAAAACTGAGAGTCCAGAAAGAGCACACAGCGATGAGGGAAATACAAAAGTGTGGCGTCATGGGGGAGGTAGAGTCCCATAAATGCCAGTAAAGTTCTGGGACAAGGGCAGGGAGGGTGGCAGCGGGCCCAGCACTGCTCCTTCTCAGCTGGAATCTTGGGGAGCTGGACACCTGCTTGTCCACGCAGCGGGGGAGCAACAGCCCTGCCAATTGCTCAGCCCCAGGACACTGGGCCCAGGACACACAGGCTCAGGCATAAGTTAGCTCTGGGGGGCAGGGCAGAGCTGGCCCAGTGCCTAGCTCCCGCTGCAATGAGGACAGGCCTGGCAGTGGCCCCAGCATGGTGTCTGTTGCAGGTGGCCGGGCTGTACCATGCTGCTCTGGACCCAAGGTGGCAGCTCTCACTGCAGGGACCCTGCTGCTCTTGACAGGCATCGGGGTGGCATCCTGGGCCATTGGTGAGAGTGGTCCCTGTGCCTCTAGCCTCCCCTGGCCCCTGAGGCCCCCAGACTGCCTGCCTCACGCCTACCTTCTCTGCAGTGACTGTTCTACTCAGGAGTGAGCAGGAGCCGCTGTATCCAGGTGAGTAAAACAGGCTGGGACGCCCTGGGAGTCTTGGAGGAAACCTGTGTCTGGTGGGAACTCAATGAAAGTATATTTTGAATGAAAGTACAAATGCATGCAGAAATGCGAACATAATAGAGCATTTGTGTTGAGTGCCTGCTATGTACCAGGCACTATTCTAAGCACTTCGCATGTCTAACCCAGTGTGTTTCAGACTCCAAATGTGTTATCCAGTAGTGCATCATGAAACCAAATTAGTGAGTTGAAACTACATTTTTTTAAAAGTATGAAACAAATTAGATTAGTAAATATCAGAGTGCATCTCTCTCAATAAGAACAAGTTTCGTTAATTTTTTGTTTTGTTTTTATGTATTCATACACACACAATTCCACTGCATGCTTGCTGCAGCCCTGTGGGGTGGGGGGGGGACTGTTATTCTTCCCATTTTGCAGATGGGGAAACTGAGGCTCAGAGCAATGTGGAGGTCTGCTCCATATCACAGATCTCCTATGGTCTACATCATGATGTAAAAATGTGTTTTTTATTATGGAACCTGGTCAAAACATATTCGAGAGGCACAGAAGGAATTCAGGAGAACTTTCTAGGTCTCCTAGAAGGTGGTTGCTGTTATTAGCCCCATTTTACAGATGTGGAAAGTGAGGAGCAGAGAGGACATGCAAATGGGGCCAGGAATTGCTCTTGGACTTGCCTGTTATAGATGTGTCTGTAGGCATGTGGGAATGAATGGCCACACAAATAAATAGGTGCAGAAATTAATTGTGGGACGAATGAATGAATCTTCCCAAATGCAAACTCCAAGCTGCCGTTTTGTGACCCAGGGCAGCAGGAAGAAAGGGGAAGTTGCATGGCAAGATATATTTTTCACGCACATGAGCCTCATCTGATTCCATAAAGGACTGAGCTCACACTAGGAGAAGCAATGAAAATCCAGACATGAAAAGCCAACATCTGTGTTAACTGTCAAAGCCAGTACTTAGAATTTAAATGTGCCAGGCACAGGCCTCAGGGCTTCATGGTCTCAATTTCTTAAACCTTCACAACAGCCTGTTTTCATATGGGGAAGCTGAGGCACAGAAAGCCCAAGTGACTTGCCCCAGGTCACAGAGCTAGTAAGTGGCAGGGCTGGGATCTGAACCTGGGTGGTAGTTGTATATAATTACTACACTCTGTTGTTTGTCAAGAAACAGCTGAATTAGTTGCCATAGTGAAGGCTGACACATGCCAGGCTTGGCTGCAGCCTATACCCAACAGCACTTTGATGTTGGGGCTGTTATTATTATCCTCATTTTGCAGATGGGGGAAACTGAGGCCCTGTGAAGTAAACTTTGGATAGTGGCAGAACAAAGGGATTGCACCCCTGCTGAAAGCTCCCCATGGCTCCGCATGCTGTCAAGATAAAACCCCAACCCCTCGCAGGCTCCAAGGCTCCTAGGTGTAGGCCCCTCTCCACCCCCACCTCACACCTGCTGCTGGTGCTGTCTGGGCTACAGTCCACAGGTGCTCTCACTCCCGTGAATGATCCATTCCTCCTTGCACCAAAGTCCTGACTCACCTCCTCCTCTCCAGCTCATGCCTAGAGGCAGGTTTCCATTGTGCACTGTCACCTCTGAGCTGTAGGGCCTCCCACCAGTCCTGACCCTCTCTGAGCCTCAGTTTGCTTGTCTGTGAGATGGGGGTGAGGAGAATCAAGTGAGAATTAGAAGAGATAACTATCTGTTCAGTGCCTGGCTCTTAGCCAATGCAATAAACAGTGACTTCTGTTTCTTATCCTTTAGGCTTTAACTTTCTTGAGCAAGGCCTTCCTGGACCCCAGACTCCATGTCCCTCCCACCCCATGGCCATCCTGCTGCCCCTGGTAAAACCCTCCTCACACTCACAGTTATTTACTCCTGGTGAATTCCAGGAGAGCAGGGACATTTTGTTTACTGATCAGACAGCGCCTGACACATAGTAGGCGCTCAGGAAATTTTTGCTTAATGAATAAGCCCAAAGACAAACCACCAAGGCTGCCCTGGGCCTCCAGCTGGAAAGTGATTGGGGCACGATCCAGACCTGGCCCCTGCCAACGCTGGCGCCCTTGCCCTTCAGTTGTACTTGGGCATTTCAGAAACACTGGGCAATTAGGAAACAAACAAACAACCCCCCCCCCAAAAAAAAACTCTATCTCCACTTTGTTTTTCTGGGATTTTCACACCTCTAAATATATCAGACAATTTGGTAAGCACACCAGGTGACCCAGAACATACTTTTTGCTTTGCTTAAAATAATATAGACAAGAATAAAGAATTTAAAAGTGAGAAACAGTGGCATAGAGTGTGGCTTTAAAAATAGTTGGAGAAAGCATTTGATGTTCTTTCCCCCACCGTTCCCCAACACACATCCATAAAGTAATATTTTCCCCCCAAACCCCATACTTTCTGGAAATCCCATCTCTGGAGCAGTTAGGAGCATTTTAAAATAAGACTCTACCACACCCACCCTGAGTTGCTGTTCCAAACCCCAAGGCTTGGTCTTGGAACTCAGGGGGTGGTGGGCACCACCCTATGATGGTGCTAGGTGTCCCCTGCCCCCACCCTGGAGCAGGAGGCCATAATTAAGGCCAACCAGCCAGGTAGCTTTTCAGTCCTAGCCATGGATGAGTGCACTCAAAGTGGAGAACAGGCAAGTATCCATGTGAGACCCAAAGAAGGAGCAGAGAGTATGCAGGTCAGCAGGTCTGGGTTCAAATCCTGACTTTGACAGTTGTTAGCTCTGTGCCCCTGGACAACTATATTACTCCAAGGCTCAGTTTCCCCATCTGTAAGATGGGCATAGAAATGGTCTCTACTTCCCAAGATAGTTGTAGAATTCAAAGAACCACCCAGATATGACACATAATGTGGGGCCAGCCCACTGACATCCCCCAGGAAACATAGCCAGTGTTATTCTTAATGTGCCAGTGTTTAACCCTCAGGAGGGGAAGTCAATTGAGAGACTGCCTAGGGCAACATCAAAATCTTGGAGTTTGGAGGCATCCGGGCCTGGTTTCAAATCCTCTCTCTCTGCCTCTCACTTAGCGATGCTGGGCAAGTCACCCCCCAACCGAGCTTCAGCTTCCCCATCTGGAAAACAGGGATGATGTTTGTGGCCCCTGGGGCGTGTGGCGAGGGATTGGTTGATGGTGGGGCACACAGTAGGTCCTCATCAGGGCAGGCTTCTCCCTGGAAGTCCTGCCTCCCCTCGTCCAGACCTCAGGGCTTCAGGAAGACTGTTCAGCTTGGGTGTAGCCTCACCAGATTCCTCCTAAGAGGGTGCAAAAGCAAATGTTCACCAGCCTCAGTTTCCCAGAACGTGCTCTCAGAACACAGGCCATGCAGGAGGCTTGCGAAAAAAGGACAAAGAGGTTCACAGGGGACCTCTCCCCAAACCTGCCCCCTCCCTGCCTTCCCCATCTCAGTCAATCCAGTTCCTCTAGTGGCTCAGGACAAACACCTCGGGGTTGTCTTTGACCCCTCTCTTTCCTTCCACCCACATCCAATCTGTCACAAACCCTTTCGTCTCCACCTACAGCATCTATCCACAATCTAAACTCTTCTCCCTGCTCCGCTGCCCCTCCCCGGCCCAACCTCCATCCTTCCTGCCTGAACATCCCAGCAGCCTCCCCCCTGGTCTCCTGCTCCCCTCCCTGCCCCCACAGTCGGCTCCCACCTGCAGCCAGGGGGAACCTGTGAACACCTGAGTCAGGTCGGGACCTGCCTGGCTGCACCTCATTCCAGGTAAAAGCAAAGTCCGAATGTTGATCTTTTCTATCCCCACCTCATCCTCCCCTGGCTCACTCTGCTCCGGCTTCCTTGCTGATCTCAAACACCGCACTCCCAGCCTGGGGATCTCCGTAGCTCCCCCACGCGTCCTCACGCCTCTTTCCCACCTCCTGCAGCCTCTGTTCACCTACCACCTTCTGGGTGAGGCTTTCCCGCCCTCCTACGGAGAAGTGTGACCTCACCCCCCACGCCAGCACTGCCTTCCCTCTGTCGAGCTTGATTTTTCTCCATGGGCCTTTCTTATCTTGTGACACATGATATATTTTACTCATTTGTCTTCTGCATTATACATCTCACCGACTGGGCTTTGAGCTCCACAGGGACAGGGGTTTTTGTTTGATTTGTTCATTGCCTAAAATAGAGCCTGGCATATACAAAGTGTTTGGTAAATACAAATAAATACGCCTAAGGGCTGTGACCTGATTTAGGTGTTAACAGGGCTCCTCTGACTGCATGTGGGGATCAGACAGAAAGGCTATGGGGAGCATGAGTTCTCAACACAAACACCCCCTCCAGCCAGCCCCAGACATGAAAAATCTCCCATGAGCTGTCTCTAGGCTTCCCGTGTATCTCAGCCCTGCCTCACTTCACAGTTTGTAATGATGTGTTTGATTGGGTGACTTTTTTTTTTTTGGTCTTTTTCGTGACCGGTAAGGGGATCGCCCCGCACCGTGCTCAGCCAGTGAGCGCACCGGCCATCCCTATACAGGATCCGAACCCGTGGCGGGAGCATCGCTGCACTCCCAGCGCCGCACTCTCCCGAGTGCACCACGGGGTCGGCCCTGGGTGACTTTTTTATTGCTGACTGTCTCCCCACCCCCTAGATTTTGGCTTGGCGAGAGCAGAGCTCATGGCTGTCTCGGTCATCTCTGTCCCCAGCATCACCCCACACTGGACATGGAGTATGTGTTCAGTCATGCTTGTTGAGTGAATGAATGAATATGACCTCCTCTGCTTGGAGAATTATTCATGTTAGCATATTCAAGGCTCTGACAAGTCCTGCAGAATAATTATCCTTCCTTCCTTCCTTCTTTGTCTCTCTATCTTTCTTTCAAAATCACATGGCCACAGAACAGGAATATAAGAGATCTGTTTAAAGATTTGGCAATCTGGTATATTAGTCAAGGGTCTTCAGGCTATAGAAGACAAAAGGAAAAAATTAAGAGACTGGCTAAACAAACAGGGAAATTATTAACTCATTTAACAATTCTGGAGATTCTTCAAGCCTGGCTGCATCAAGGGGCTTTAAAAATGTTGGAAACCTCCTGGCATTCCTCCATGTTAGATTATTCTCCCCTCATGTGGGCAAAGATTCCCCCCAACAGATCCAGCCTCACATGCCATTCTCTTGGGAATTCATTTAAAACAGTTTCCCTCTTCCCAGGTGTCCAAGGCAAGTTGCAGGTGTACAGCACATGAGCACGCAGCTTAGGAGTCCCAGTGGGGAGAGAGGTTCTCTGGTTCCTACCAGGCCAGCCAAAGTCCCAGGGCTGCTGTTCATTGGTCTGATTGAGTCACATGACTTCCAGACTCAGTCACAAATGTGGGGGAGGGAGCACTGTGGTGGGTCCTGCTGGGTTTCAAGACCAAAACCACATGGCCACAGGACAGGAAGGAAGAGGTCGGGCTGGGGAGGCAAGACAGGAGCCTGGATGTGGGACCCAAGTGGCGCCCGGCCCTGTGGCCCTGCAGTGCAGGTCAGCTCAGCAGACGCACGGCTCATGGTTTTTGACAAGACGGAAGGGACGTGGCGGCTGCTGTGCTCCTCACGCTCCAACGCCAGGGTGGCCGGACTCAGCTGTGAGGAGATGGGCTTTCTCAGGTACTGGGGCACCCTTGGGGGGGGTGCTGGGAGGAGTGGGAGGAGCAGGCCTGACCCCTGCCCTGCCCAGGGCACTGGCCCATTCCGAGCTGGACGTGCGGACGGCAGGTGCCAATGGCACATCGGGCTTCTTCTGCGTGGACGAGGGGAGGCTGCCCCATGCCCAGAGGCTGCTAGAGGTCATCTCCGTGTGGTGAGGAGGGCAGTGCACGGGTGGGGGCAATGCCTGGGCCCCCACAGCCCCCAAGGCCCCCCACAGCCGCCCTCCCTATTTTCGTTTCATCTGTCTTCATTGGTCTCTATATTTTGTTTCTCTCTGTGTCTCCTTCCCTTTCTCTTCCACAGCGACTGTCCCAGGGGCCGTTTCTTGGCTACCATTTGCCAAGGTGAGGCCCTGAAACTCAGAATCCTCTCCTTTGGACCCCTGGGGGGTGCATTTCCACTCAGACTCTCCCCAGGATTGGCCCATGTCCCTGTAAGTCCCCCAAGAATGAGACTATGACCCCTCAGACCCACCAGGACAGGGTCATGTCCCTTCAAACTGCCCAGGTAGGGCCATGTCCTCTCAGATCCCCTAGGGCAGGACCAAATCTGGGCTCTGGGGGCCTGGATTCCATTCCCCTTCCACAGTCCCTGACTGTCCCCTCTCCCACAGACTGTGGCCGCAGGAAGCTGCCTGTAGATCGCATCGTGGGAGGCCAGGATGCCAGCCTGGGCAGGTGGCCATGGCAAGTCAGTCTTCGCTATGATGGAGTACACCTCTGTGGGGGGTCACTCCTCTCTGGAGACTGGGTATTGACAGCTGCTCACTGCTTCCCTGAGTGAGTGTCACCCATAACACTGATGTGGGGGAGGCAGGGACGTGGAGGTGAGGGAGGCTGTGCCCAGGCGGGCTGTCACCCTACCCCCATTCCCTGGCAGGCGGAATCGGGTCCTGTCCCGATGGCGAGTGTTTGCTGGTGCTGTAGCCCAGGCCTCACCCCATGGCTTGCAGCTGGGGGTGCAGGCAGTGGTCTATCATGGGGGCTACCTTCCCTTTTGGGACCCCAACAGTGAGGAGAACAGCAACGATATCGCCCTGGTCCATCTTGCCAGTCCCCTGCCCCTCACAGGTAAGTCTGGGAGCTGAGCCTTGGCTTGAGAGCTCAAGAGGGTGGGAGGACTGAGGAGGGGGCTAGGGCATAGGAGAATAAACTTAGGATTTAGGTATCCATGCTGACAAAAGGAATGATCTTGAGGGGGCACAAACTGGGCATTAACTATGAATGATTGGTGCAGCCACTTTGGAAAACTGTCTGGCAGTTCCTCAAAAAGTTAAACATAAAGTTACTATTTGACCCAGCAATTGCACTCCTAGGTACACACCCAAGAGAAATGAAACAGACATCCACACAAAGACTTGTACGCAAATGTTCACAACAGCATTATTCATAATAGCCAAAAGAAGGATACAACCCAAAAGTGTATCGTTTGACAGATGGAGAAACAAAATGTGGTATATCCATACGATGGAATAATATTTGGCCACAAAAAGGAATGAAGTACTGATTCATGCTGCAACATGGATGAAGCTTGGAAACATATGCAAAGGGAAAGAAGCCAGACACAAAGGCCACATATTGTATGATTTCATTTATGTGAAATGTCCAGAATGAGCAAATCTGTAGAGATAGGAAGTAGATTAATAGTTGCCAGGGGTAGGAGGTTGGGGTGGGGCTAGCGTGGGGGTGGGGACGAGGAAATTAGGAGGCGATTTGGTAAACGGTGCAAAGTTTCTTTTTGGTTTGACAAAATGTTCTAAAATTGATTGTAGTGATGGTTGCACGTGTCTGTCAATGTACTAAAAGGCCATTGACTTGAGCAGTTTAAGTGGGTGAATTGTATGGTATGTGAATTATAGCTCAATAAAGCTGTTACCAAAAAACATAATTAAATGAAAAACTTTAAAAAATACAGGAATGAGTAAGTTAGAAAAAAGTTGGGAGTTATTCCGTCTACAATTCCCCGGAGCCCTTCCTTGGTCTCAGTGAGAAAGGCTCCCTTGGGTACCAATGTGTTCTTAACACTTCAGCACGCTCACCTCCCGTTTGGATTACGAGTGGTCTTTGGGCTCCGGCTTTCAGCAGACCATGATGTAATAGTAACAAATAAGGGTGGTGATGATGAAAATGAAATAATAGTGATGATGGTAAACCTAAATAATTCAGTAAGATAATAGAATAGTAATAATAATGATGAACACCAACATGCACGCTGCCCCTGGGTGCCAGGCACTGTTCAAGGCGTGTCCCATGTATGAATTATTTAGTTCTCAGCATCCTTGCGAGAGAGGCTCTTAAGATTCTCTTTTCCCTTATGAGGAAAGGTCCCAACACAGAGAAGGTCAATAATGCCCCAAATTCCCACAGCTGGCAAATGGCAAAGATTTGAGACCTGGCCGACTGGCCTGGAATCTGTGCTTGTAACACCCAAGCTATGCTGCCAGGTAATTTAGTTGCATTTTGTGGTTTGTGCTATAGTTATTTTTATGGTTTTTTTTCATGACCTGTGATATTGGTTTTCCATTTAAGGGAGTGATGTACATTTTTTCTTTAAAACAAAACAAACCCTTCTCCTTACTGAAAAGAATGAGAAGCGGTTTATTGAAGTAAGGACGTGTCGATGGGGACCCAGGTGGATGGGGAAGGAGCGGCATGAGTTTAAGATATGCGGTCGAGGGGGTAACAGCATGGCATGTGGCTTTGCCTCACCATGCCTCAGTTTCCTTTGTCTGTAAGATGGCTTCCTAGGGTTGGGAAAATTAAAAGCACTGATATAAGTAAAGAGCTTAGAGAAGTGCCAGCATGTAGTGAACACTCGGTACATGTTAACAGTTGTTGCTATTTTTTGCTCATTACTATTACTAGTTATATGAGCAGTTTGCCAGGCACGCTACTCAGTGTTTCACCAATTTCTCACTACAGCCCTGTGGGGAAATGATTATTATTTCCAGTTTACAGCTGCGAGCTCTGAGGCTCAGGCAGGTGAAGTCACCAGCAGGCAGCAGGCAGGGCTACCAGGACTGTTGCTTGGGTCGTGCACTGCACAAGCATACCACATCTCAGGGGCGCCATTCTCAGTACACACCTGTTTATTTATTACTGTGATTTTCTTTCTCGTTTTTTTTTTTGTCTTTTTTTGTGACCGGTAAGGGATCGCAACCCTTGGCTTGGTGTTGTCAGCACCACGCTCAGCCAGTGAGCCAACCGGCCATCCCTATATAGGATCCGAACCCGTGGCCTTGGTGTTATCAGCACCGCACTCTCCCGAGTGAGCCACGGGCCGGCCCTATTATTATGATTTTCTGACAGGTGGAAGTCAAGTGTTTCAAGACAGGGGTGTCTTTTTCTATTTCTCACAAAGGCACCCTCTAGGCTGGGGGTAGTCCTGAGGCCATGGTTAAGAACGCAGGTTTGCGAATTGGGCCAACCTGGGTTCAAATTCTGGCTTCGCCATTGACTCACTATGAAACTTTGGACAAGTGAGTTGGTCTCTGTAGAATGGGGTAGTAGGAGACTCTATCTCCCTGGGCTGATGAGAGATTAAAGAAGGTGATACAGGAAAACACCTGGCAGAGAGTAAGCTCTTGGTAAATGGCAACTTCTGTCATGGTGGTTATAAAAGGACAGAGGAAAGGGTGTGGGGCATGTGGAGGCTGCTGGACAGAGTTTGTACCAGCTGGAGCAGACCAGCAAGGAATAGACCGGTGTGACCTCTCTCACAGAATACATCCAGCCTGTGTGCCTCCCAGCCGCCGGCCAGGACCTGCTGGATGGCAAGATCTGTACCGTGACTGGCTGGGGCAACACACAGTACTACGGTGAGTCCCGTCCTCTGCCTGTGACACCACCATTAGGGAGACTCCGAATGGGGCTGGGGAAGGGCAATCTGGCTGGTTGAATGGCTCTTGACCCTGGGGTGTAGGGAATCCGAAGGGTGTGGGTGGGCACCAGGGGGTGTGCATACTCCCCAGCGCCAGCCAGCTTTGCCCACACTCCCAGGCCAACAGGCTGGGATACTCCAGGAGGCCCGAGTCCCCATAATCAGCAATGATGTCTGCAATGCCCCTGACTTCTATGGGAACCAGATCAAGCCCAAGATGTTCTGTGCTGGCTACGCTGAGGGTGGCATTGACGCTTGCCAGGTAAGGGACTGCGTGGGGTGGCCCCCAGCCCCTGCCACCCCATGGATGGAGACATAGGGCAGTGGGTGGTCCCTACTTCAGGGCCAGAGGGCTCTTTGACCACAGTTCATGGTCATCTGAGAGGGTCTCCTGGCCAGCCATCTTGGCCTCCAGCCAGGCCTCTCTTTCCCCTACCAGGGTGACAGTGGTGGTCCCTTTGTGTGTGAGGACAGCATCTCTCGGACAACACGTTGGCGGCTGTGTGGCATCGTGAGCTGGGGCACTGGCTGTGCCATGGCCCAGAAACCAGGCGTCTACACCAAAGTCAGTGACTTCCGGGAGTGGATCTTCCAGGCCATAAAGGTGAAAGTTGTGCACAGATGGGAGCTGGGGTGGGAATGTGTGGGGCTCAGATGGGAGAAAGGAGTCAGATTTTTCTTAGGAAACCTGTGCTCAGGCCAAGAAGAGGGCACCCTAGGGAATGATGGATTTCAAAGGGCTTCTGGGGAGGGAAGGCTAGTTGCAGGATTTTGGCAGAAGCCTCTCAGACCTCGGAAGCCCCCAGTTGTCTTTTCCCAGACTCACTCCGAAGCCAGCGGCATGGTGACCCAGCTCTGACCTGTGGCTTCTCTTCGCTGCACACGCCTCCAGGGCCCAAGGCGATCTAGGTGGCTCTAACCCCACATGGTGGGATCCATGCTGGGCCTTGGATGGAACATTTTTCTTCTTGGGACCAGTCCACAGGTCCAAGGATACCCTCCCTCCAGGGTCCTCTCTTCCACAGTGGCTGGCCCACTCAGCCCTGGGACCACCTGAGCCTCACCCTCCAACCCCCATGTAAATATTGTTCTGCTGTCTGGGGACTCCTCTTTAGGTGCCCCTGATGACAGGATGCTCTTTAAATAATAAAGATGGTTTTGATTAATGTGGCCTCTGAGTTTGCAAATATAAGCAGCAATGATGACATTTCTGGGGGAGGGAAGAAAGGAATTAGGGCCTGGCACAAATCAGGTAGGGAGTGTGATACCCCAGTTCCCGCTGGCTTAAGAGAAAAGATTTTAATTGGTTCACTTAACAGGAAATGCCCTGGAACATAGTGGTTTCAGGTACTGCTGGATCCAGATGTTCTCTCAAATCTGCTTTACTCTTTGTCAGCTTCATTTTTAAGCAGCCTCCCTACAACTAAAGACAGAGCTGCAGCCGCCACCTGCTTCATAAAAACTCCAGGCTTATATGCCATGTATCAACTGCAGCCCCAGTGGAAAGAGGATTTTTTCGCCCAATAGCTCCAGCAAAAAATGTCCCAGGCCCAGCTCTCATCGGGCAGATTTGGGTCATGTGCTCATCCCTCATCAAATCACGGTGTACCTGATGTACAAGGTGGAGATGAGGGGCTAGACCTTCAACAACTACATGACATCTGAATGTGGGAGATTTCCAAAAGGAAAATGGGGTGCTGTTTCCAGAAAAAGTGGACATAGATGCCCAGTGAGCAAAAAAGACATCTACATTGAGCCAACACAGAAAACAGGGCCCTACAGGGTAGAGACAGGAGCACAAGCCCTAAGAGCACAGCCTGAGACCCTCACCCTTTTCACACTTTCCTGCATCTAAGCGGGGGGCTGGGTTCCAGCTTCTCCTGGGAAAGCCGTGCTCCCCCTTCTCTAGAGCATCTGCAGATCTTCGTGGCCACCGTAATGGCCACCAGGGGGCACTGCTGCCCCTACGCTGTGAGAAATGAAGGTGTTTCTTGCCTGGTGTTGGCATTGGTAACCTGTTGCTGAAAACCAGCTGCTCTGGAGGGAGGGGGGAGAAGGGGGCTCACTGGTGCCTGTTTCCCATGACTTTACATGATAAAAATTATAATGCATCACCCATCAACAGCAACCTCCCAAGCAATTTCCTAAAATGTAAATAGACCCAGGAAAGTGCCTTTAAATAACTAACAAACTATCCATTTAGAAAATCGTCCCAGCATCACTCACTGATCCCTCAAACCCTTAGCAAGGTTGATCCCTGCCACCACTTTGTTGGTCAGGCGCCCCCCCCCCCCAGCCCTACAGCCAGTTTTTTCAGATGTCTGCATGTGGCCGTCCTACCCATGGTACTTGGGATGTAATTAGAGACTTGACCCACACGTTGCTTTGTTAGAAATGTATTGAGTTACAGGAGATGACTAAATTTTCCTTTGTAATTAGCTGAAAAATGTACTGTCCATGTATTTCATGATGTTTGGGGACTGTAAGAGAACGTGGCCCACCCTGGGGGTTCTGAACAGATGTGGCCACGTCGTGGAGGATCTGAGGGGGCACAGCTTGCCCAGGCAAGGGAGAAGGAGTCTGAGCGGGGGGAACTGCACAGAGTTTGGCCCTGTTCTGGACGTTCTGAGGGGATGTGGCCCTATTCTAAGGGACCTGGCAGAAACTTGGGCATTAAAAGCCAATAGGCAGCTGGGAAAATAGAAACCAGGGGGCCATTCTGGGCTCCACCAGCTTTATTGCTTTCTCGGAGGAGTGGAGGGATTAGGCAGATTGTGACTCAGCCATTTGCCGGTTTCTTTTGCATGCCAGGGATCAATGAGCCTCAGTTTCTCCTCCTGCTCCCCACCAACCTTGCCACCCACCCCAAGGAGACATGAAGATATTAGAAAAATAATAACAATTACAAGGTCACTTTGAAGTTCAGCTGGGGTCTTGGTCTCCAGAAAGGCTGAATTCTTTTTTTTATTGAAAAGTAATTGATTATACACATTTGTAGGGCACAGAGTTGAATATCAATAACTATGTATAGTCTGTGATGATCAAATCAGAGATAATTAGCATATTCATCATTACAAAAATGGAATCATTTCATTGTGTTGAGGACATTCGATCTCTTCTAGCCATGTGATAACATGCAGTACATTAATGTTAATTATAGCTGCCTAGCTCAGCTGTAAATCAGTAGGTTATTTTTCCTAACTAGCTCTTTTGTGTCTTTTAACCAATTTCTCACTACCCCAGTCTTCTCCCCCTTTCCCACTTCTAGTAACCACAGTTCTGTTCAGAAAGGCTGAATATGAAAACTTTTACTTCTGTGTCATTGCTGTGCATCTCTAAGTCAAAAGTATTCGATCCATCTTATGCAATTAATGTAACCATATCAGGGACACAAGCAAGCTTTCGCATTCATATTTAGCGTTTATATCTCAATAATCCCTTTCAAATATAGAAAAGCCTTCTGGATGTAACTTGGAATAGAAAGCTCCATGTGTGGTTTATAAGCTGGTATTCTCACAGTTGAGTTGAGGGAGAAATGTATAGTTACTCATTCTTAATAGTTATTCCACAAGAAAAAACACCACCATGATTAACAATGATTGTGAAGGCCATTAATTTTATATTCAGAAATAATTATTGTGGACGTTCAAATAGAGGTGTAAGTAGGGAGATGAATCTTAGTTTCTGCACAGAAAGTAATACTATTTTAACACTGCATTTATTAAGCGAGCAGCTGTTCTGGCTCTGCTGCTGCATAACAAACCACCCCAAGCCTAGTGGTGTAAAGTAACAACCATTTTGTTATGCTCATGGATTTTGTGACTCAGAAAGTTGGACAGGGAATGGCAGGGACAGCTTGTCTCTGCTCCATGATGTTTAGATCCTCAGCTGGAAAACCTAAAGGAGTGACTTGGTGAACAGGGACTTGAATAAGGATGCATCTTTACTCACAAATGACACACAGGCTGGCCTCAGCTGGGAATCCGGACTTGTCTATCCAAGTGACTTTGGCTTCCTCCCAGCATGGCTGCCTCAGGACATTGGGACTTCTCACGTGATGGCTCAGGACTCTAGAGTGAGGACACCACCAGACACTGCCTTTTCCACCCCAGCCTCACTTCTGCTCTACTCTGTCGGCTGAAGCAGTCACGAGCCTGCCCAGACTCTGGGGGAGGAGATGGCGATGGCACCCCTCAGAGGGAGGCAGGTCAAAAAATTGGGGGCCATAGGTTAAAACTGCCATAGGAGCGTATGGACTGTAGGGGCAAGTTGGCAGCTGATAGAGAAATGGTCCCTCACTAAAATATTCAGCCTGAAAGATTTCCCTGCTAAAATTGTGGAAAATAAAGTTGTGACAGTAATAACTTTTTCATACACTCTCAGATTCATCCTTACATTTCAGGGGTTCGTTCTCAGATGGTGATATTCAGCTTTGGGCAAATCTTGATCTTAACACTTAGCCCATCAGCATATGGCTACCAGGCCTATTTGTTGCACCTCTAAATAATTATTTTTGTATTAATAAACATATATGTAGATTTTTTTGAGTACTTGGTACGTGCAGGGCACTGCCATGAGAGCTTTACGTATGTTACTGTACTCTTTCCCCAAATGAAGACATTTGAAAATGTTTGTCTTAATGTTTGCTACTCATTCATTCATTCAACTAATATTTATTAAGCATTTCCTGTATGCCAGGCACTGTTCTAGGTACTAGGGACACAGCGGGGAACAAAACACACAAAAATCCCTGTGCTATGGAGACTGGGGGAAGCAGACGGTGCATAAGAACCACTGGTCCTACTTGTGTTATTATCTTATTTAAATCTTCTCTTTCCCCTTCTCTTTTGGTCTTTCTCTTTTTTTCCAACTCAGCCTTGACTTTAACAGTAATATTTATGAAACTGTGGGTTTCATGTGGTAATGGCAGATAAATATTTTCTCAATATAAATCAAAACAAAGATATTAAATAAACAAAGACTAGTAAAATAATAACAAATGCTTCTTCACTGACCTCCTGTACTCTCCTGGGATTCCCGTGCTGGCGACCCATGGGCCCCACCGTGGGAAACACTGTTAATCCTCATACAAGCTGGAAGGAAGGGGTTGCATGATCTATCCAAGGTGCCACTTCTGAGGGGCACAGCTGGGACTGGGGCCTGTGATGAGAACATCTCGGGAGAGGGTACTGAGCTCCCCACTCTTAGCCCCTTTCTACTGACCAGGCTTGGACACTGCCCCCTGGAGGGTTCCCTGGGTCCCCAGGAAAGCATGTGTCTCCAGATGCTGGGGGTATCCTGGGGATGAAGACAGGCGGCCTTAACCCAAAGATGCCTCCAAGGGCTGGCTGTTTAGTTCAGTTAGCACGTGGTGCTGATACACCAAGGTCCAGGGTTCGATCCCTGTACCAGCCAGGTGCCAAAAAAACCCCAAACAAACAAACAAACAAACAAACCAAAGACTCCTCCAGTGGTGGGGAAGTGAGGTGCCCTGCTCAGTCTTGGTGGGCCAATAGGGAGACTTCAAATCAGGGCCTGGCCCAGGCTCCCCTCCGTCCCACCTGCTTTGACCATGTAAGGGCTGGCTTGGGTCTGCGGAGGCAGAATGGTGCCTCTGGGACACCCACATCGCAGATGGAGTCCCCACTCCCTAGCCCTGGCCCTCCCTTGCTAGGGCAGCTCCATGAATATCCATAGATCCACAGTACTGGCCACTTGCCGGTTCCACATGCACCTCTCCTGGCAAATCTCGCCTTCTGCTGCTGTGTCCCCCAGTAATACTCCCTGTGCCCAACTGTAGTAGTCCCCATCGTTCTCTGCAGATGCCCGGCTTGGGCCCTGGGCTGTCCTGCATCCCATGAATCTGCCCAGGTGCACATCTTGGCCACCCCCTTCGCACATGCTCACTCCATTCCCGGGAGGCTGGGAGTTCATCTTTAACCTGCCGGGAGGGAGAGTGCTGGCAGGGTCCCTGGAGGAAAGAGACGCACTCTGCGCCAGCAGCTCTTCGTCAGCAGCCCCTCCACCAAGCAGTGCCTTAGTTTCTCCATGTGTGGATTGCTTGACTCATGCAAAACCCTGCTAATGGGGTAATGAGGTTGCTTGTGGCAACCTAGCCCACTGGGAAAGCCCTGGAAGACATCTGTCTCCTCTCTCCCTTGCCCTCCACCACCCCCAGGCCTGGCCCAGACTCAAACAGACTGGATAGGAACCAGGATCTCTGGGAGCCTCCCAGGCCCCAGGATCCACAAACAATGAGCTGGTGGAGCTGAGTTACCACCACCCCCATGTCTGCCCCAGTTTCCACCCTGGCCCCTTCCTGTGCCCCCACCTCAGCCCTGGGTATAAGCCAGTCTGGGTGCCCAGTACCTGGGGCCACCATGGGGATGCTCTGGCTACTGCTGGTGGGTGAGTAGGAATGGGGTCTAGGGAAGGGGTCAGCGGTGGTGGGTGGGCCCCAGCCCATAGCTGACACTCCTCTCCTCAGCCCTGCAGAACCAAGCAACTTGGAGCAAGGAGATCAGAGGTTAGGCTGGACATGCTCCCTAACCTGGAGAGGGGACAAGGCTGTGGGGACAGGGGGAGGGGGTGGAGAGAGGGAGGGCTCTAGGGGTCTGAGGGGACATGGCACCACCCTGGAGTCCCTCAGGGGAACTGGCCCTGCACTTGGGGACTTTGGGAACATGACTCCCTCCCTGAGGATCTGAGGGGACACAGCTCCATCCTGAGGGTATGAGAGGGATACAGGTGGGGCTGGGGAAGCCTCAGTGGTCTTGGTGTCCCCAGCCTCACTCCTGTATCCCGATGGGCTGGAGCACGGGGATGAGGCCCTCCCTGCTGAGAACGACAGTTTCTCTGAGGAGCGGCAGCTGCTGGAGCCCTTTACCTCTTTGAGGTCACACACAGGACGGCCTATGTGAGTGCCTGGCCCCTGCCACATGGTCCCTGGGCTCTCTTCTCCCTGGCCCCACCCCTGACTCTGAGCCTGTCTTTATCTGCTCCTCCCTCCTCTGACCTTTATCTTCTGTCCTCCGGGGGTGGGCCCTGTCCGTCTTCTGCCCCCTGACCTGATGACAGCCCCCTGACCTGATGACAGTCCCCTGCCGGTCTCATCCTTCCCTATCACCCCAGGTCTGCACCCATGGGTTAGTGTCCTTCGGGGAGCCTGTGGTCCTATTCACACCCAAGGCCTTTCCACTGGAGAGGGGCCAGGGCTTTGTGGCCCCATTCTGGGCCGACAGGTCCACATTGGGCACGGGCCGCGTGCGGTCCTGGCGGAGCCGCTGGCCAGAGCTGCTGGGGCGGGCAGCTGAAGACCTGGCCTCTGCCGTCCCCCATGCCCCACCCACCCCTTGAGCCCTGCTTGTGGCCACCTGGGACCAAATCCCCTTTTATGGGGCCCTTGCCCCCCCAGGTGAGGAAGGGGCAGGCAGAGAAGGACCCAGGCTGAGGCTGTCTGGCCCAGCCCCTAGGGAAGAAGGGCTCTGATTCCTGGGCAAGTGGGAGACACCGTGAAGAGAGAGACAGGGAGAGAGAAAAATGGGAGAGAAAGAGGAAGATGGAGACAGAGGAAAGCACAGAGACACAGTGGGGGAGAGAACATGGGTGACAGAGAGAGAGGGAAAGACAGATGGGAGAGGTGGGAGGGACAGAGAAGGAAAGAGATGGCAAGCAAGAGGGAGTCAGGAACTCAGATGGAGAGAGATAGAGGGGAAAAAAGAAAACGGGAGAGAGAGGCAGAAAAAGAAAGATAGAGACAGAGGGAAAGCAAACAGGCTGACCCGGGCTCTGATGGAGGTGGCCATGCCCAGGGGACTGAGCGGGCAGGCAGGAGGGCTGAGAAGCAGTCAGCTTGGTAGGGCAGATGGAGCCCAGGTGCAGAAGAGGCCATCAGGGGGTGTCGTGGGTGCTCCTGGACCAGCCTCTGCCACCCCTGCTCCCTGCACTCACCCCCTGCAGGTGAACACCTTTCAGGTGGTGCTGGCCATGGGCAATGGCCCCTCCTGGACACTGCTTCTCTACAATGACATCAGTGGACCACGGGAGTGGCCAGTGGCAGGAGCCCCTACAATGGCTTGGGGGGCATTGCAGCCCAGGTGGGTGGGAGAACGACAGAGGCTGCCCAGGGTCCTTGGGGAGGGTGAGGAGATGACCTGATTCACCCTGTCCTGAATCACACCCCAGGCAGGCTTCAACAGTGGCCAGCAGAGGGACTATTTCACCATTCCTGGCTCTAGGACCCCCGACATCCACGTGGCAAACACCAGCAACTGGGCATTCCGCACTGATGCCTTTTTTTTTTTTTTTTGTCTTTTTTCGTGTCCGGCAACGGGATCGCAACCCTCGGTGTTGCTCCCGCGCCTCGCTCAGCCAGTGAGCGGGAACCGGTCTGTATGTGGGATCCGAACCCTCGGCGGGAGCGCCTGCCGCGCTTCCCAAGCGGTGCACTGTAGCAGTGCGCCACCGGGCCGGCCCACTGATGCCTTTGCAGTCCCTAGTGGCTGTGGCTACAATGGTGAGGTGGTGGGGACCCTACCCAAGACCTACTTGCTCCTGGATCCAAGCTTTTTTAGCCCAGGAGGACAGGGCCCCAGCCTCTCCTCCTCCAGGACCAAG